GAACTCTTAAACCAGGACGACAACTCTGAAACCTGGTGAGATGAACCTCCTGATTGGAAAGTAGTAATAGGAGGGGAGAACCTGGAATAGAATAGTAATAGTATGGAAGAACACAGAAGAAATAGACCCAAAGGAGGAATAGCATTGTATGTCAAGGATGTGTATATCTGTGGCTTTGAGCATGACTTCACTTTCTTTTCCAGACGACCTTGTGCCGCCTCCAGACCTGTTGGAAATGGTAGTCTCATGGATCTTTGAGGACCCCCGCTTGATCCTTATCACCTTCCTGAACACCCCCATTGCAACCGGCCTCCCCATTGGGTTCCTGGAACTCACCCCACTCAGTGGCCTGATCCGGTGGTGTGTGAAGGCCCCGCTGGCCTACAAGAGGAAGAAGCCCTCAACTTCCAGTGCCCTCCTCAATGGGAAAGGGTTGGCCAAGGAGACGCCTGAGGGCTCCGAGAAGCGAGACGGCCAGCCCTTGTACTCCAAGCTGCACCTCAGCGTCCTGCAAGTGCTGATGATGCTGCAGGGACACCTGTCCGAAAAGAATCTCTATGGGCGCCTGGGGCTGGTGCCCTTGGACCATGTGGTGTCACTGGTGGAGGACATTGGCCGCCTGGCAGATGAACTTAACCCCCTCAATGCCTCCAAGGAGACTGAACTGGCCCTCGATCGGCTGGCCCAGGCCTTGCAGGTGGCCATGGCCTCCGGAGCCTTGCTCTGGACCAGAGGTAGGTACCTGCCAGCAGGTGGCAGGTATTGGGAAGAACATGGGGTACTATGTGGACAGAATAGTGAATGGGGGCAAGGAAAGCTGCACTCTGTGTCGGGGAAAGGTGCCAAGATGCCATCTTGAAGGGTATTGTTTTGGAAGCTAAGTCTTTGGGTCGGAGGGCTATGCCAAAAGGCCACTGTGTATAGTCTGGGATGGGAAAAGAAACCTTTTGATCATTTGCTATGGGATAAAAAATAAATTAGAAAGTATTTAAAGGGATATAAGTGATAGAAAGCTGCCCCCACCCTTATTGTTACTGCATCCTTGTTCATTCTGTTCTCCCTGCTTTCAGAGGATCTGAGGACTGTGTGTTCCAGACTGCCACACAACAAGTAAGGAAATGTTCAATGTTTCAGACTACAGCTCTGTTAGTACAAGTTGAAATGTGATTTGCCTTCTTTGCAGTGGGATCATATTGATGGGCCCTATTCAATTTATGACCAGCAATAACCCCAAGTACCCTCTTGTCTTATCAAGTAATCCCTAGGATTTCAGAAAGTTGAAAATTAATGGCATCCATTGCAAAGTTACACTTTAACCCCTTGTGTCTGAAGATCCACCCCTTTTGGTTGATTATTACCACATATATTAATGTATAAATCAAGGGCAGCTTTGGGGGCCAAAATTATGGATTTTGATATGACCTGTAGATAAGTCAAGGGTTATTATATGAAAAAGGGAAAGCAGCAATGCAGTCTCAGAGGGTTAGCTGTCCCTGGCTGCCACTAGACATCCGTAAGAGTCCGAAACCATGCCAGGTTGGATACAGTTGAAGGGGTCATTGCTTCTTTTAGGTTCTTCTGGGATGATAATGATGATTTAATAATAGTAATTAAAGATATGGATGTCCAGCTTCCCAAGAGATGCCTATGACACAACAGCAATAATAGAAACAGGAAGGTCTAGCTGGTTAAGAGATACCTATCTAAGAAGGGGGGGGGGAGAGGAAGTCCAGCTAGCCAAGAAATGCCTATGATATAATAATAATAATAATAATAATAATAATAATAATAATAATAATAGAAGAAGAAGAAGAAACAGGAAGGTTTAGCTGGCTTAGAGATAAAGATGATGATGATTTTATTTGTTATCCTCTGCTCCTCCTGGTTTGAGGCAGGGTTCAGTCAAAACACATCAACATAAAATACATACCACAGAATACATATATAAATCACACTGCTATAAATGATTACACTACTGGGACTTTTCCAGCATTCTACTCAGAGAAAGAGATGATTCCCTTTGTTAAAAAATATAAGAGTTAAGGTGCAATACTTCCATTGATAAGATAACTCAAGTCTTTTTGGGTTGATTTTTTAAAGTATTCCTGGAATTGTTGACATTACCTCCATTGAGGGGTTTGGGTTTGGAAGCCAAGTCTTTTGTTTGGAGGTCTATGCAGTTGGATAGCTTTAAAACAGGCATGGGCAAACTTCAGGTCTCCGGGTGTTTTGGACTTCAACTTCCACAATTCCTAACAGCCTACCAGCTATTAGGAATTATGGGAGTTGAAGTCCAAAACATCTGGAGTGCTGAAGTTTTCCTATGCCTGGTTTAGAACCACCATCTTCCTTGCAGCTGAACTCATCCCTCTGCCTTCCTTCCTTCCTCTGACAGCCTCCTGCAGCTGGTCATTTCGGGTCCAGTCCAACAACCGGCGCACACCTCTCTGCCACCCGGCTTTTACCCCTCCATCCACACCCCTCCGTTGGGATACCCCGCCCATGCTTCCCTTCCGACCCATCCGGTCCAGACGTTTATACCCGGCATGGCTTTCCCCTACCGGCCAGTCCGCTGAACAGACTCAACATCTTCTGGCCGCTCCTCTTCTCCGTCAAAGGGTTGTCTTGTGGCACAGAAGAAGGGCTCTCCATCTTTTTAAAGGTGCTACCTGACTTCAAGAAGAGATCTCTTCACCGGCAAAAGAGGATGTCAGCCACTACAAGGAAGACCATTTTTAAAAGACCATTTGGGTAGCTCTTAGGCCACTTAGGATGCTGCAAGTGTGCCATTGTTTGTTTTTTGAGGGGCAGGTTGTTTATAACAATATGTATATATACTTCTGATGCTTTTAAGACTAGCCCGTGGCGGCGTTTTCTGTACAAGCAGCAAAGTGAGTGGGTAGCAAACAGCCCACTGTGTTGTTTAGTAAACCTACATTTTGTTAGGGAAGGCCTTCCTCTTCCTTCCTTGCAACCACCGTTGGCTTCAATGGGCTCTCTCTTCTCAGGATGCAAACAAGGGAAGGCGAGTAGGAGAAATGCCTCTGCACCCATTTTAAACATCAACATCCTTCAAAAAAATCCTTTTATGTGTTGTCAAAGACTTTCATGGCCAGAATCACTGGGTTGCTGTAAGTTTTTTGGGCTGTATGGCCGTGTTCCAGAAGCATTATCTTCTGACGTTTCGCCTGCATCTGTGGTAGGCATTCTCGGAGGCTGTGAGGTCATAACCTCTGAGGATGCCTGCCATAGATGTAGGCCAAACATCAGGAGAGAGTGCTTCTGGAACATGGCCATACAGCCCAGAAAACTTATACCAACCCAAATCACTTAAATTTTTTCCCAACCTTTTTCCCCTATAGAGGGACTCTGATCGAGAGGCACAGCTTCTCGTTTATTTATTTTATTGTGGGTGTTGTTTTAAATTATTATTTTACTTAACATATATTTACGTTTTACTGGGTTGTTGTAGATTTTTTCAGGCTGTATGGCCATAGTCTAGAGGCATTCTCTCCTGGCGTTTCGCCTGCATCTATGGCAAGCATCCTCAGAGGTAGTGAGGTCTGTTAGAACTAGGGAAAGGGGGTTTATATATCTGTGGAATGACCAGGGTGAGACAAAGGACTCTTCTGCTGGAGCTAGGTGTGAATGTTTCAACTGACCACCTTGATTAGCATACAATGGGCTGACTGTGCCTGGAGCAAACTTTTGTTGAGAGGTAATTAGATGTCTCTGCCTGCTTCCTCTCTGTTGTGTGCTGTTGCAATTTTAGAGTTTTTTTAATACTGGTAGCCAGATTTTGTTCATTTTCAGGGTTTCCTCCTTTCTGTTGAAATTGTCCACATGCTTGTGTATTTCAATGGCTTCTCTGTGTAGTCTGACATGGTGGTTGTGAGAGTGGTCCAGCATTTCTGTGTTCTCAAACAATATGCTGTGTCCAGGTTGGTTCATCAGGTGCTCTACTATGGGTGATTATGTGGAAAAGTGAACAAAGGTAAAGGTAAAGGTTGTCCCCTGACATTAAGTCCAGTCATGTCTGACTCTGGGGTGTGCTGCTCATCTCCATTTCTAAGCCGAAGAGCCGGCGTTGTCCATAGACACCTCCAAGGTCCTATGGCCGGCATGATTGCATGGAGCGGCGTTAGGCATATGTCTATTTTTGTCCTGCCTTTATCTCTGCAATGGAGAGGCAAAGTGGATCACAGCCGTTTAAAAAGATACACCTTATTTATTATTATTCAAATCTCTAGCGTATAAATATTATTATTATTATAGTTGTTGTGTCAGGAGCAACCGCTCCTGTTGTGAGAGAATTGGCCGTCTGCAAGGACGTTGCCCAGGGGACGCCTGGATGATTTTTTTTGATGTTTTATCATCCTTGTGGGAGGCTTCTCTCATGTCCCCGCATGAGGAGCTGGAGCTGATAGAGGGAGCTCATCCGCCTCTCCCTGGATTCGAACCTGCGACCTGTCGGTCTTCAGTCCTGCCGGCACAGGGCTTTAACCCACTGCGCCATGGGGGCTCCTAATATTAAAATAGAGATTGAGCATACAAGGTGGTTAAAATCCCTTGAAGCACGATTTCCCTGGCTGAGTGCTATGGGATCCTGGGAGTTATAGTTTTGTAGCCTCCACTACGGGAGAGGGCCAAAGTATAGATCCCAGTTTAATGTGTATATCAGGCATGGGCAAAGTTGGGCCCTCCAGGTGTTTTGGACTCCAACTCCCATCATTCCTATCAGCCTCAGGCCCTTTCCTATCCCCCCTCAGCCGCTTAAGCGGCTGAGGGGGAAAAGGAAGGGGCCTGAGGCTGTTAGGAATGATGGGAGTTGGAGTCCAAAACACCTGGAGGGCCCAAGTTTGCCCATGCCTAGTGTAGATGCATCCTCAGTTTACAAAAACATGCTTTAAGCCTCCAAGGGGAAATAGAGCACCCTTGAGCATGCGCAGAAGAGAGACGCCTTTCCCTCTCGCAGGGTCATGTGACTGCCACCCTCGGCTGGATCAACATGGCGGCCAGACGTCTGGCGTCGGTCATGTGACGCTCCGCCAGCCAATGGGGAGACGCCTTGTTGCGAGAGAGGCCTGTCACCGCTGCTGAGGGCAGAAAGAGAGCGAGACTAGGAGCTGCTGTTGAGGCCGCCTCAGAAGTCTTCCTCCTCCTCCGCCTGGCCTGCTCCCTCCTCCGCCTCTTCCTCCCCGGGATGTTCTGAAGGGGCCCCGGCCTTCCGTCGCGCTCCCAGGCCGGCCTCGCGCTGGGGCAGCCGCCGCCTCACCTCAGGTAAAGAAGGCCGACCAAGTAGGCCTCTCTTTCCAGGAAACATACAGGGGCCCAAGTATATATGTGTGTGTCTGTGTATAAATATGTTTTTGTGTGCCTGGAGATGTTTATACACACCTATATATCTCCATAGGCCTATAGATAGATCATTAACAATATGTAATCCTGGTATTATGATTATTATACAGAGGCCTGCCTTTATTTATTTATTTACTTTATTTGTATACCGCTCTTCTCAGCCCTTAGGCGACTCAGAGCGGTTTACAACAATTTAGGTATACACAATACAAAATCATTAAGCATTTAAAAGCAATAGCATCACAAATCATTAAACATCAGTATCAATACATCACTACATCAATATAACAAATCCATCAGGTCTCATCAATGAAATCAGAATCCAAACTCGTTATCCGATATTCCGTGTTCCGATAGTCAGTCAATCATGAGGCCAAGCCCAACAACACATCAATAAACAAAAACAATAAGTACAATACAATTAATATAAATCACATATAAACAATAAACAGAAACACACAAGGAATTGAAAACCTATGGCCGGGCCAAATGTACCGTAATAGTTTAAAATTTTTTTTAAAAAGCGCTGGGCATGAACAAGGTAGGATATTATTATTATTATTATTATTATTAAACTTTATTTGTACCCCGCTAGCATCTCCCAAAGGACTCAATGCGGCTTACAAAGGCCAAGGCCTCAACACAACAACAACAACAGACAATAACAATATGATGCAAAGCAAATTAAAACATAAGCAATAACAAAACATTACACTATTACGCAATAAAACCAGGGCCGGGCCAATGATGGGTACAGGTTAAAAAAGTGCTGGGTGTGGCTGGTGGTATGTTGGAATTCTGGGCAAGTGCAATGTGCAGAGAGTCTTAAATTCTAATAAAGTGCTTCTGAGACGTAGTGCTGGAGATTATCCTATTCCGGAAAGGCACATCGGAATAGCCAGGTCTTCAAGTTCTTCTTAAAGACTGCCAACGTGGGTGCTAGTCGAATGTCTTTGGGGAGGGTGTTCCAAAGTTGGAGGGCAACCACAGAGAAGGCCCTGTCCCTCGTCCCCACCAAACGCGCCTGCGACGCAGGTGGGATCGCGAGCAGGGCCTCTCCGGATGAACGAAGGGAGCACGTGGGTTCATAAACGGAGATGCGGTCACGCAGGTAGGCAGGTCCCAAACCGTTTAGGGTATATCTGGTATAGAGTTTTAAAAGAGAGATGAGGGAGTGCAGTCAATCCTAAACCAGTAGTAAAGTGCATTCTGAGGACATATTGCTGGGAATGATGGGCATCCAGCCTCTGTTTAAAAACTTCCAAAGAAGGAGCCTCCACCACACTCCGGGGCAGAGAGTTCCACTGCTGAACAGCTCTCACAGTCAGGAAGTCCTTCCTAATGTTCAGATGGAATCAGGATTAACCATTTGTAATCCTGATATTATTACACATGTGATTACAAACATCTACCTATAGATACAAGAAGAATTGTGAGTCCAAAGCATAAATGTAATCATAAATGCACACGTGAGTGCAAACACATATATACAGAAAAATAACAATAGAGGTATGTGGGCATAAACACACCAGTGTACACAATAATATTAATAATAAATGCACATGTGAGTCCAAACACGCAAACGTTTATACACACACACACACAGAATAATAACAATAGCAATATAGACATAGAATCATAGAGTTGGAAGAGACCTCATGGGCCATCCAGTCCAACCCCCTGCCAAGAAGCAGGAAAATCGCATTCAAAGCACCCCCAACTGATGGACATCCAGCCTCTGTTTAAAAGCTTCCAAAGAAGGAGCCTCCACCACACTCTGGGGCAGAGAGTTCCACTGCTGAACAGCTCTCACGGTCAGGAAGTTCTTCCTAATGTTCAGATGGAATCTCCTTCCTTGTAGTTTGAAGCCATTGTTCCGCGTCCTGGTCTCCAGGGCAGCAGAAAACAAGTTCGCTCCGTCCTCCCTATGACTTCCTCTCACATCTTGATCCATGGCTATCATGTCTCCACTCAGCCTTCTCTTCATGCTAAACAGGTCCAACTTTTTAAGCCGCTCCTCATAGGGTTTGTTCTCCAGACCCTTGATCATTTTAATCGCCCTCCTCTGGACACATTCCAGCTTGCCAATATCTCCCTTCAATTGTGGTGCCCAGAATTGGATACAATATGTATGAGTACAAACACATATATATGGTAAAAGTTTCCCCTTGACATTAAGTCTTGTGGTGTCCAGCTCTGGGTGGTGGTGCTCATCTCCACTTCTAAGCCAAAAAGTCAGCATTGTCCATAAAACACCTCCAAGGTCATGTGGCTGGCATGACTGCATGGAACGCCATTACCTTCCCACAGAAGGTGGGATCTACTCACATTTGCATGTTTTCGAACTGCTTGGTTAGCAGAAGCTGGAGCTAACAGTGGGAACTCACCCTTCTTTCTGTATTTGAACTACCAACCTTTCAGTCAGCAAATTCAGCAGCTCAGCAGATTAACCCACCGTGCCATCTAGGGACCCAAACGCATATATTTGTAATAATAAATACACATGTGAGTACACATAAATATATACACAAGAAGAAAGTGTTTTAAAGTGTTATTTCCTGTTTCATTGGACAGTCCTTAATTTGAAAGTAGTTGTTCATCTCTAGAAACTTCGTTTTTGTGGCTGCCTCAAACTAGGTTGAATTGGTTGAGACTCTGTGAGATATTTATTGAAAAACTAGAGTAAAGTGTGCTGCAAGATGTCCCCCACCACAAAAACAAGGTTTATGCAGTTCAATAAACTTTTTCCATGTTTTTTATGATAGAACCAATTAGGACATGACATTTATAACCCAGGAACAAAAATTGTGTTACATGGTGTAATCCATATATTTGTACTCACAAAATGTATATGAACAAGCTGAAAGATTGCGACAGTAAAGGGGCATCCTGAAATGACCAGAATACATTGAAGGGAGTTTTGCAGCAACAAGAAATGCATAGGGCATTGGCCTATTGATCCATTGTGGCTTAGTCCCATTCTTTTCCCTTCCAGAGGCCAAGATTCAGGTTTAGCCATCCAGGGCCGTGTTGTTAGAGGCATCACTCAGGCCCCTCTTCTCTGTTTCTTGCAATGCTGCTACTATGTACCCTTTAAAAGTGTAGAATCAGTAGGAGTCTAGGACCTACATGGAGGGAGGACATAGTCCCTCTCTATTGTGCTTTGGTCAGGCCTCACTTGGAATAATAAACCTGGTCAAAGCAATTCAAGGAGGAGAAGGACAAGGTGGGAGGTCGATCAAAAATGGTCAAAGAAAACCAAGACCTATGAGGAGAGGCTGAGGAAGCTGAGTAGGTTTTGCTTGGAGAAAAGAAGGCTGAAAGAAAGGGACATGAGAGCTGTGTGTAAATATTGGAAAGGATGTTATATTGAGGAGGGAGAGTAGGACACAATGGAGACTAGAACGTAATGGAACAGTGGATACAAATTGCAGGAAAAAAGATTCCACCTAAAGGAACTTTAGATAGAATCTAAAGCTGTTTCACAGCAGAGTATACTGCCTTTGAGTACAATGAAGGCGCCTTCTCGAGGTTTTGGCCATCTGTCCGGGGGGCTTAAACGCTGTCTGACTGCATGGCTGGGTGGCTCTTGGGGTCTCTTCCAACTCTACAGTTCTGTTCTTTCACCATTAATGCTGCTTTGGCAGTTGGGAACACAAGAAGCGGTTTTGCAGTGAGATTAAAGCAGGCAGTGGCAGATGAAGGATTATGGCATCTCCTAAAGACTCTTGAGGAGTGGTTCTCAACCTGTGGGTCCCCAGGTGTTTTGGCCTACAACTCCCAGAAATCCCAGCCAGTTTACCAGCTGATAGGATTTCTGGGAGCTGAAGGCCAAAATATCTGGGGACCCACAGGTTGAGAACCACTGCTCTTGAGAATTGGCATCTTTGTTGGGACAGGAGTCCTTCATGAAGAATCGGATCTCTTTTGAAAGCCATAGCAGTTGCAGTTGACTTCTGCTCCAAAGCCAAAGGAGATCTGGTCAGGGCACAGCCAAGTAGTGGTCAGGATATCGGGAGGCAGTGCCCATTCCTTAGTGTGACCACCTTCTTCTTGAACACATTAATCTAATATTAGAATCCAACTGGCCACATCGGATACCAGAGGAATTGGGTTCAGCCTATTGCTTCAGACCTCTACAAAACACAGGGAGCCTGAGCAACAAGGTGGCGAGCAAAGCGATCCCAAAGAGGCAAATGAGGAATAGAACTACTAATTCATTTAACCAAAAGCTGAGCCTAAAGACTGAAGAAGGTGTCATTAATGGGTTAAGCAAGAAGGTGGCATGGATAAAGTAGAAAATGGAGGAGGCCTTTGTGCTCCTTAACAGCAGTGCTTCCCGTACTCTTAGGCTTCTGCGGCCACTGTTTGTGTTACTCTTCTTGCCCAAAGACATTAAGTTTTGATAGGGAGATACTGGTTTGTCAATATATTTGCTGTATCTGATGGTATTCTATCCCAGAGTTAATTGTCCTCATTCCTTAAATAATTAAAAGGTTGGCTTCTTTTTTCCAGCTTGAACTTTGGACCTTGAACAGTTAGACATCTGCATGTCTGTCGAGCCTTTTAGTATCGAGTGTCATACATTCTTAAGTGTTTGAGGTGTTTGTGTTGAGAGCAAAAAAGTTTTCACAGCTGCGAGTTTGGAAAGACCCTCAACTCCTCGGGGAGGGAACTTATCAATGAAAGTACGATCAAAATGTGTAAGGAGCAGCGCTGGTTTATATACAAGGAAGCATGGCTAGGATGTGAGGGTTGCTCTGCTTGGGGATTTTAGATTAAAATAAATCCACAGCAGATGGTCCGGCAATTAATTGCAGTTCCTAGAAACGAGTCAAGATGAGGAGCACTGTTAGCTCTCTTCCTGTGCCCTGGGGAAACTGGTCCCAGAGAGACTCTGTGCCCTTTGTTTTTCTCAGATCCGTCCATCTTGAGTTAAACTTTTCTAGAGCAAGGAAGACTGAAACACAGATGGGAAAACATTCTCCTGCTCTCTGTCTCAACACTGTGAACTTGTCTGTTGCTTGCCATGCTTAAAATGGTAGCAAAATTATCCTGTTATTTAGCTCCATCAGTAGTACATGGGTCAGAAGTGTTCCCTCATTTAGTGGGGGCTCTGGAGCAGGGATGGGAAGGGTTTTGTGTTTTCTTTCCCCAAAGTATGCAGTTAGGTTTGGCCTCCTGCTTTTCCTCATCTAGCTGGATGGCTCTTATTTTCTGGTCTCCTCTGCAGGTGTGAATGACCGAAGAGGTGCCTCCGACGGCACTCAGTGAGATCTACCTTCGCCTCCTGTGCCATGATGACATAGATACTGTCAAACAGCTCTGTGGCGACTGGTTCCCAATAGAGTAAGTGACTCTTAGGGCTCCCGCAGCTTTGCAGTGGCCCCTTTTGCATCCATAGAATTAATTTGAAAGAGACCCTAAGGGCTGGCCAGTCCAACCCTCTTTTGCCATTTTGCCAAAGACACCATCCAAGCCCTCCCAACAGACAGCCACCCAGCCTCTGCTTAAAAATCTCCAGAGAAAGAGAGTCCACCACATCCATATAGCATCTTATGAGTTCCCTTTGTGAGTGATATATTTTGAAAAATTGAGAGATTTCTATAGAAAAAAGAACGTAACTGAAAACATTGGCCTCTGTCATTGGCATAAGTCTGGCTGATATATTCCTGTGTTTTTCTTCCCAGGTACCCTGACTCATGGTACCGAGACATCACCTCCAACAAGAAGTTCTTTTCCCTGGCAGCCACCTATCGGGGCACGATTGTGGGGATGATAGTTGCTGAGATCAAGAGCCGGACAAAAGTACACAAAGAGGTAGGCAGAAAGCCCTCACCCCGTCCTCAGCTTCATCAGGAGCCTGGATTGAGCAGCTTTGCCTTGGTTTTGGGGGTGTTAAGCCTGGTAGGTAGATGCCCCCCACCCCAAGTGCTGTGTATTGACTACATCCTTTTCTGCTGGTTTTCCCCCTTTAGGATGGTGACATTTTAGCCTCTGGTTTTCCAGTGGATACTCAGGTTGCTTATATTTTAAGTCTAGGAGTGGTAAAGGAATTCCGGAAACATGGCATAGGTAAGAGTCTGTTCAGTACTTTTATCTCACCTTCAGACAGACAATGTAAACAAGAGGCTGTGGCAACGGCATTCTTTGCAAATGCAACACTTGCTGTGATGTTAATACTTGGTTCTAAGGGTGGTTCAATCTTTGCTGGCTGGGAAGAACACGTTAGCGAAACATAACTATCCACCTGCCATTCCTTCTTCCCTCCCTGCGCCAGGTTCCCTCTTACTTGAGAGCTTGAAAGAGCACATATCGACCACTTCCCAGGACCACTGCAAAGCCATCTACCTGCACGTCCTCACCACTAACAACACTGCGATAAACTTCTATGAAAACAGAGACTTTAAGCAGCACCACTACCTTCCCTATTACTATTCCATAAGAGGTGTTCTCAAAGATGGCTTCACCTATGTCCTGTACATCAATGGCGGGCACCCTCCCTGGACAATCTTATATCCTTTGCTGGCAGTCTGGGAGGGTTTTGCAAGTGCCAAAGTGGGGGGTATCCATTGGTCAGAACTGTCCCCAGATTAGTGCCCTGTGCAGCAGGCCCATTGTTGTGTATATAAAGGAAGGGCTGTAATGGGAACTCCACTACTAGCCATAGGAGGCCTTTCTGTGTTCATCCTGTGGCTCCTTAACAGCAGTGCACCGATTACCTCCAGCACATCGGTTCGACCCTGGCCAGTCTGAGTCCCTGCAGCATTCCCCAGAGGATCTACCGTCATGCCCAGGGCCTCCTCTGCAGCCTTCTGCCCTGGTCGGGCATTACGGCAAAGAGCGGCATCGAATACAGCCGGACCATGTGACACCAAGGTAAGGTTGCAGCGGATTCCTGAATTCATAAATAATAGTAATCCATTGCCCCTGCCAACACTCTGATTTTGTGGTCACTAAAATGACCCCAAATGGATTCATTGTTCAATGTGGAAACAATCTCATGGGGCAAAAATCGGTGCAGGTTCATGAGGGGTGGAACAGGTGCAGCGATGTCTTCCTCCCTCTAAGGCATTTGGTTAAGAGGAGGAACCATTTCTATCTTTTGGGGTTGTTGGCTTGGTCTGTGGGACAGAATGTGGGGTTTGAAATGGGAGGCACTGATTGGTGGGGAGAGAAGCGGCTTGTCTGCCTGTGGTACCAAAGAGTGGTTCCTTTGCAGGTGGATTCTTCCCAGCATTGCTGCAGCTGCTGCATCACTCTGGGGCTCTGCACACTGTAAACATGCCCTGCGACTCCAGATGCCCCCCACCGACCGACCAGGATGCTGCCTCCCGCTGCGCCACCCCAACTCCCCCATTGCGATGGTGTTCCTCAAGGGCCGCCATCCCACGCGGTCAGTCCCTGAGCCGGCCATTCTGCAGGCCTGAGCTTGGGCTGAGGACATGTGTGGTGGAAGGAGAAGGACTGAGTCCGTGGACAAGAAGGAGAGTGGCAGAGTGGCCACAAGAAATGCATCTTCTTTCTGACTTTCTGTCTCTCCTTCTGTCTTTCTGTCATCTTCCCTTTCTTTCTTTCTTGGCATAGAAGTTGTCGCAGGGCCTCCAACAGCTCCCCGTGTTTCTTTTTGCTGCTGAGAGGCCGGGAGGCTCTCCCCTTCCACCTCTCCACCTACTTCTGCAAATCAAGCCCCTGATGCCCAGGGAATGAAATTGCTGTTTCATAGTGAAATACGTTATGTGTGTGTATATGCATCGGTATACACAGTGTACAGGGTATCCTGCCTTTGCTCTGGGCTGGAAGGGGAAGTGCCGGGTAGGCACCCATGTCTCTGAATGGCCTTGGGCTTCCCGTCATCCTGTGGAACACCCCCCTCCACCCAAACTGGGAAGTCACACAGGGCAACCCTGGGCTGGCTGTGGCTCCACTGGCCTTTAGGAGGCCCCTTCCTCCAGCCCTCCAGGTTTGCAGTAATGCTCTGGATGTGGTTTGCCTTTTGCTAAACAGACCACGCACAGATTGAAGAATGGCTGAGCCTGAATCCCATGTGCAAGCAGGACAAGCGTAGCATTTAAAGGTCTTATCATGGCAGGAGGAGGCCAGGTAACAGGGGAACCCCTCCTTCTCACCGTCAGGCTGGCCTTGTTTTCCTCCCTGTATTGGTGGTCCTCCTCCAAGTCCTGCACCTTTCTCTTTTGAAAGCAGCTCTGTTTTTCCCTAGTAGATCTAGAGACTTCTCTTTCTGGTGGGAATGAGGGATCCTGCCATTGTATGGCTTAGGAAAAAGGGCTCTTATGGTCCTTAAAAGGAAGGAAGCCAGCAAAGGGCAGTAGAAGCATAAACTAGAACTGACTAAACTGAATAGTGCTGGTCAGAGCAAGGGGTACATCCCAGGTGATCTCGCTCCCTCTCCAAAGAGGGCCTTTAGAGGATGATCATCGTGGCCAGGTCCCTCCGCTGTTGTCCCTTTGAGCTGCCTCATTTAGGACAGAGCAAGGCTGTTGCAAGGCCCCCCCCTCCCCAAATGCCCTGAGACCCCCTTCCCTGCCTGCATTTGAGTCTCCTTTTTGCTTGGGAGTGTCTCGAGTCTGATCAGTGCACCCTGCTCTTTGGGTGGCTTTGATCACTCGATGCCCCTTCTCCTCGCTGCCTCTTGCCCTTTGGACCCCTTCCAACAAGAAGAGAATGGTGGCTTCAGGAGGAAAAAGGGGGCAGACACCCCTTTCGGAGGAAAGGCCCCCTTCTCCCTGGTGCCACCTGCACGCCTGCTGTATCCCCCCCCCCCCCTCTATTTATTGACGAGCGACCGTCATCCAGTCACTTTACATGTCTTTGATTAAAAGGTTTTGTTTTGTTTGGGATGTTGCTCTGGTCTCATTCTTCCGCCTCGCACGGCGTGTCTGCCTTTGGGAGGTGTGGCCTGGTAGCCAAAGGAGCCTTGTGTTCTCCATCAAAAGAGGGTGCTCCTGGGCATGTGCAGAGCTTTTCTCCAGGGGTTGAGCGACAGATCCCACCAGCCCCGAGAAGTACACAGCAACAGTGAGGAACACTGGAGGATGTAGTCCAAGGACATCTCGACGAAAGGATTCTCAAACACAAGAAACAAACATTGCAAGGATTCGACCTGTGTAGTTTCTTGAGGAAAGAGCAGAAGGAGCTGAGCTCTATCCTGAGAAGGGTAGCTAAGATGGCCAACCGTTTGGACACTTCTGAGGCCTTGTGAGGAAAAGAACAGTGGAGGAATGTTGAGTTTGGAGAAGAAAAGATGGAGGAAGGACCGAAGGCAGAGGGAGCTTGTCCTCAGGTGAGACCTTGAGCCAAGGCAGTCCAATTGCAAGGAAAGATGTGAGGAAGGACTTTTGGACTGTAAGATTCTCCTGCTCCATCTTTGAGGGTCTTTCAGCAGAGTAGCTAGGCAGGTGCTTTTAGTATCTCTTGCTCCCTGGCCAAATCAGCAAAGGGAACAGGCCTCCTGACGCGGCAGGTGGTAGCTGGCGCAGTCTCTTTCTAATGCCCCCCTTGCCTTGCATGCCAGGAGAGGAGCCAGCTGGCAGCTGAGGCAAATGGGTCCCAGGACGGCCAATGAAAGGAAAGGGGGGTGGGGCATGGGGGCCACGCTCCGTTGCCTGTCGCCACCTCCTTCAGAGCCTTCCAGGCGAGGAGGACGACACACACCTTCCTCAGCAAGAGCTACCCAGGCAGGCAGGGAGAGAGAGAGGTAAGCTCTGCAGAGGGGAAGTACTTTGCAGTTGAGGGGGAGAAGAGGGTGTGTTGCAAGAGTCCAGTGCTGGAGTCTTGGCTGGCAGGGCCACCCTGTCCCATAGTGCAGCCTTCCCTCCTTGTCCAGTTAGTCATGGGGTTTATTTGTGTGTTGTGGTTGGACTGGGAGAAGAGGGGTCTTCAGTTAACCATCCCTGCCAGAGGGTGCAAATGGGTCACGCAGTGATGGCACCCAAAAAGTGTCTTTGTGTAGGGTTCCCTGGGGTTCTCTGTCACGTGCTGTTGTCTTTCTCTCCCTAAAGGCCCTCTCTGCCTTTTCTGCCAGAGGCCGTGGGCCTCCCCCAGGTGGGCTCAGGTTGCTCCTCTGCCATAGGGAGTGTAAATATGACCCCCAGCGGCTGCCACCTGGATACTCTCTGAAAGAGGATCACAGGGAACCCTGGGGGCCTGTCACCTGAGACGCCTGCAAGGGCTGCTTGATGAAAGCCAGAAGGGTCTTTTTGTTGTCTCTGGCCCTTGGAGCAGGGGGGCCGCTCACGGAGCCCCTTCCTCTTTGCTGCAGCTGGAGAGGAAGCCAAAAAGGGCAAGATGTCTCTGCCCATCTCCCCTATGCTCTGGAGGAAAGAGCCTCAACGGAGGAGACAGAGGAGGCGGAGGCCACAACGAGACCTGCACCCAAAGCCTTGGAGGGACACAGCAGTGGATGACAGCCTGACAAGCCTGCAATGGCTCCAGGAGTTCTCCATCCTGACGGCTGACCCAGAGAAACCCACCGTGTCTGAGGGAAAGGGGCCCCCAAGACGGCAGCAGCAGCAGGAGGCCCCTGAGGCTCCGTCCAGCCTTCCGGAAGGGTCCCCGACCTCCCCTGGGACAGGCCCCCCTGCCTTCTGTGGCCCTCATCCCCCTCCACAGGCCCCCCTGGACTTCCGGACAGACGGACGAGCCAAGCCACCCTACTCTTACGCCACCCTCATCTGCATGGCCATGCGGGCCAGCAAGGGCTCCAGGCTCACCCTGGCCGCCATTTACGCCTGGATCTCTGAGAACTTTGCCTTCTATCGCCTGGCAGAGCCCAGCTGGCAGGTGAGGGAAGCAATGGGGTTCTCCCAGGGGGTTCTGGTATCCCTGGGCTGCCAGGAGGGTCCCTGGGGGACAATTTGGGGTTGGGAGGGGGCCCCATGCCCCGAAGGAGAAAACTGCCCTCAAACTGTGAACCTGTCCCCTCTTCTATGTTCTCCCTTCCTGCCTTTCCCTTCCTCCCTTTTCTTTTCCCCCTTCTTCCGCTTCTACTTCCCCTCTCCCTCCCTCCTTCCTTCCCTCCTTCCCATTTTACTTCCTCCTCCCTCTTTACTTTCTAAGCTTCCTCCTTTTCCTTCTCTTCCTTCCACTGCCGCCTTCATATTCTATTTCCCCTCCTTCCCTCCCTCATTCCTTTCTGTCCTTCCCTTTCTTCTTCCCATTTTACTTTTTCTCCATCTTCATTTCCTAAGTTTCCTTCCTTCTCTTCCTCAATCCCTTGCCTTGCATCCTTCCTCTGCCTTCTTTCCATTTTTATTTTCCTACGTCTCTTTCCTCTGTCCTTCCCTGCTTCCCATTTTACTTTTTATCCCTTTATTTCCAAAGTTTCATTCCTTCTCTTCCTCCCACTTCCTTCTTCCCATTCTATTTCTACTCCTTCCTTCCTTCCCTCCCTCTTTCCTTTCTGTCCTGCCCTTTCTTCCTATTTTACTTTTTCACTCTTAATTTCCTAAGTTTCCTTCCTTCTCTTCCTCAAACCCTTGTCTTGCATCCTTCCGCTGTCTTTCCATTTTTATTTTCCCTACATCCCTTTCTTCTTTGTCTTTCCCTTCTTCCCATTTTACTTTTTCTCCCTTTGTTTCCTTCTCTTCCTCCATTCCTTCCCTTACATCCTGTCTGCCTTCTTTCCATTTTTACTTTCCCTACAGCCCTCCTTCCCTCCCTTCTTCCTTCTTCCCTTTCTTCCCATTTTACATTTGCTCCCTCCTTCCTATTGATTTCCTAAGTTTCCATCCTTCTTTTCCTCCATCTCTTCCCTTCCTTCTTTCCTTCTTTTATTCTGCTTCCCTTGCCTCCTGCATTTTTTACAGTTCATTCCCTCTTTTCCTCACTTTTTTCCTACCTTCTGTCCCCTTTGAAGGTAGCCACCCTTCTTCCCTTTCCACTCTTTCTTCTTCACAGAACTCCATCCGCCACAACCTCTCCCTCAACAAGTGCTTCCAGAAGGTTCCGCGGAGGAAGGACGAGCCAGGCAAAGGGGGCTTCTGGCAGATCCACCCGCAGTTTGCCCACCTTTTTGCTGACGACGGGGTTTTCCATCGCAGGCACCGCATGCCGGCCCTGCCTTCGTCCGGCGACCCCTCGAACCCAGCGCCCAAGCCTCCCTTGGTGGCCCCTTGCCCTCAAGCCAGGCCCCCTTCCCCTCCGGAGGCCCCCGCTCTCACCAGGGACCTTGGCTGGGGGGCTGTGTTGGAGCCCACCAAAGAGGCAGGCAGCTTGGAGGACCTGGAGCTGGCCGCTGCCCTGGACTCACTGGCCGAAGAAGAGGACAACCATGGCCAAGAAGAAGAAAGGGGCCTGGCCCAAGCCTTGACTCTGTGTCCCGAAGTTTGGGGGGCAGAGGAGGAGGAGAGGGCCGCAGAGCAAGGGTCCCGGTGGGCTTTCGAGGTGGGTGCCTGCTTCTCTGAGGGGTTCCTTTCTGGGATCCAGCCCTGGGAAGGGTGAGCACTGTCTCTCCCCAGAGAAGGGGGCAGGGGCCCAGAGCTAAAGCATTTCTGCCTGGGAAGACGGCCCTTGAATCATGCCAGGGCATGGAAACAGACCCAGCCTCTTTCACTCAATGCAGAAGACACACATCCCACCTACACTGCCATATAAAATCCAGATTATCTTCTTTGAACTGGATCATATGGCAATGTAGAGTCGTTTAATCAAAGCAAACAATGTGAATGGTCTCTGCTTTGATAATCTGGATTATATGGAAGTATAGAATGGGCCTCAGTAGCCAGCACTTGCAGCTTTAATGAAACCTGGAGGAGGCATGGGCTTCTAAATGGGTCAAGGATCCAGAAGCCTGGGGCAGCTCAAGGCACAAGCCGAAAGAGGCAGCAATCACCCTGAGGGAGCCACCTTGACTTTTCCTTCTCTTCCCTCCATCTCTAATTTGCTTTCCAAATCTGGATTTCAGCAAAAACAAACTCTGAATAAACACAGGCAAGGTTCAGTCTGAGTGTACTGTTTGAGTTTCTTTGGCATTTCATGAGCTCCCTTGAATTGATACTGCAAATTGAATTGGATGCAAGATTGTACTGGCAGGTGAGCAAGGAGACGCTCTCCCCACAATGCCAGGCAAGTTTGGGCCTGTAAAGCCTTGGGCAAGGCCAAAAAGGACCAACGGCTGGAGCGGTCGCATTGTCCTCCACAACCGTTTTGTCCCTTTGAGGAAGCCAGGTGCCTCAAAGGAGGGAGATTGGCTTGCCCATTCCCAGTGTAAATGGAAACAAGAGATACAGACTCCGGCCCGTAATAATACTTAGTACTTTATACGTAGCACATTTCAAATGTCCAGAGCACTTTACAAACATCACCAAAATATCCCCTTGCTATATAATAGGTCAGTTATGGCCCCTAAAGGGAAGACAGGAGGCTGGAAAGAGGCTGGTGCCAACCCCAAAGGGCCCAAGGCAGCTGTGGGACTGCGGGGCATCTCGGTTCAGGGGTCAACCCTGCAGCCTTCTCTGACTTGAGTGAAAAGCCTGTGACCACCAGATGGGAAGTATGGGAGCTGTAATCCAAGAGAGGGGCTGCCTGGTTTTGCAATGAGGAGAGACACCTGCCTTCGGAGGAGAAAAATCGGGGAACGAACAAGGCACCAGGCAAAGGACTCAAGTCATGGAGCAGGGCTTTCTGCCAAGGGGTAATAGATTTGCCCCAAGCTGCCTTGTGCTGCCCCATAGCCATAAAAGGGCACCGGTTTGGTCAGACAGGCACCTGGTTATTTGGGGGGGGGGGGGTTCTGGCACAGAAAAGGCAGCCCCACAGGAGCAAAGGGGTTGTTGCCCCGTGGGTTGCTTGTGGGTTAGGGAGGAATGCTGAGTGCTGCAGCAGCAAACCCAACACTTTTGCAAAGTTGGAGGGCAGGGCGGGCATTGAAAAGGGAGGTCTATTTACAAAGAGATTTTCACTGCATCGACCCCCACCTCTGCCAAGGAATGGGGAGAGGAAGCAGCACATTTGGAGCATGCAAAACTGTCAAAAGAAAGGCAAGGAGAGAGATGGAGCCCACCAAATGGAAAGGGAACAAGGTCTGTCTTTGAGTATCTGGGAAGAATTCTTCTTCATTGGTAGAACGGAAAGAAGGAAGGAGGGCCCATACAGGGCAGCAGAGAAGGATGTTTGGCATTGCGCCCACCCCCCCTCCTAAACCAGGTGCTCAGGAGGAGGACGAGGAGGAAGGCTGTCCGAAGAGGAAAGGCTGCCCAGGATGGCCACTGGTCCCACGGCCAGAGAGAGTGCCGGCGAAGTCGGAGGACCCTGGAGGGAGGGAGGGAGGAAAGAGGAGGGCAGGAGGGGTCAAACTTCCTGGTGAATGCCCCCCCCCCCCAACATACACACACACTTGACCCTCCTGCTCTCAGTGTTGCCCATGTGAGGCAAGGCAGGGTTGCAGAGATTGCAGGATTTAGAAAGGGGTTTAGAAAGAGGAGAGTTTGTCRAGACAAAGCAAGACACAGTGCCCACCCCCAAAGGGAACCTTTGCACACCAGAAAGGGAGACCTACCAGCTTATTCCTCTATGCCAACAGAGCAGGAGTCCGGTCCGAGGGCTGCCCAGGCCAGGCAGAGWGAGAGAGGTGGGGAGGAAGGAAGGAAGGAAGGAGGACAGGGAGAGAGTCAAGAGAGGGAGAGCATTTAGAAGAGACAGACACCTCATACACAAAGAGACAGAAGCACAGACACAGGGCAGTGCTTGGAAGCAGAGGGGCTGCCATTGGGGTGACACTCACCCACTCACCCACCCCATAATTCCTTTGAGAGAGCCCTTTCCAGAGCCTTGCGGGAGAATCTCCCCATGTCTGGTCAAAGGAAGGTAAGCCAGCTATGAATAGGGGTCCTTGATGACCACAGCAGGATGTGAATCTGAGGGTTCAGTCTGTGCCCCGAAAGCTCTGTGTGTGTGTGTTGGGGAAGAAGAATGGAAGCTGCAGGAGCATGAGGGACAGGGAAAGTAAGGCCCCATCTATAGTAAAGGTAAAGGTTTCCCCTGACATTAAGTCTAGTTTTGTCTGACTCGGGGGTGGTGCTCATCTCCATTTCTAAGCCGAAGAGCCGGCATTGTCTGTAGATACCTCCAAGGTCATGTGGGCAGCATGACTGCATGGAGAGCTATTACCTTCCCGCCGGACTGGTACCTATTGATCTACTCACATCTGCATGTTTTTAGACTGCTCGATTGGCAGAAGCTGGGCCTAATAGCGGGAGCTCACCCCGCTCCCAGGATTTGAACCACCAACCTTATAGAATCATAGAATCGGAAGAGACCTCATGGGCCATCCAGTCCAACCCTCTGCCAAGAAGCAGGAATATTGCATTCAAAGCACCCCTGACAGAAGGCCATCCAGCCTCTGTTTAAAAGCTTCCAAAGAAGGAGCCTCCACCACACTCCGGGACAGAGAGTTCCACTGCTGAACGGCTCTCACAGTCAGGAAGTTTTTCCTTGTGTTCAGATGGAATCTCTTTTCAGTCAGCAAGTTCAGCAGCTCAGCAGTTTAACCCACTGCGTCTCTAGGGAGCCTAAGGCCCTATCTATACTGCAGTATAAAATCCAAATTATCTGCTTTGAACTGGATTATGTAGCAGTGTGGACTCATATAATCCAGTTCAAACCAGATTGATCTGGATTATTTGATTTGATACTCTGGATTATATGGCTGTGTAGATCCATCGTAAGAGAGCAAAGGAGGGGGGGGCAGCCCGGTGACTGGCCCTCCAAGCCACACACGAGCCCCTGCCTTCCCAGGCTGCCCCGCTCCCTCATTACCTGGCAGGTAGACCTCAGTGGGCAGCTCACTCTCCATCCGGGGGAGGCTCCTGGCCTCAGAGGCAGTACTGATGCTGACGCTGCTGCTACTGCTGCTCTCTTGGATGATGTCCTCCACAGAGGGGGGCTGGCTCTCTGAGATGCAACAGGGCAATGCTCAGCACTTTCAGATGCACAGGAGCCCTCCAAGCATCAATCTGCTTCAAAAGGGCATCAGCTGCAACTCCTCCCTTTGCCCCAGGGACCGGGATTTGCTCCTTGCTCACTCCGCTGCCCAAGCTCTCCTGCCCCATTGGGCCTGATGCAGGTAGGAGGCTTTCTGTGCCATAAAAGGAGAGGAGCACCACCCCAAACACCCCGGAAAGGACATGCACGATGGAGGACCCTCCTGTCCCCTCTGCATCCCCTCCGACAGGCGAGTCTCACCTTGTTGCAGCGAGTGCATCTCCTCTGAGTCGTCCAAGGTCAGGCTCTGGAAAATGGATTCAGAGAGTTATGCCCCCTTTTCGGATACAGAACAGAATTCACAACAGCTGGCAAATCCACAAGCACACGGCAAGAACCGCTCAAACCACATTTTTAAAAATGCCCAAAACAAGGAAAATGGCAAAATGCATGGAGGGAACACCTGGAGACATTGGCCCAGAGAAACTGCCCCTTTAGGCCCCTTCTACACTGCCATAAAATCCAGATTATCAAAGCAGATAATCTTGATTTTATATGGCAGCGTAGAAGGGTCCTTAGACATGGGAGAAGTGGAGCAAACGGGCGACTGGGGCAGAGGGAAAGTGGTGTGCCAGACAGCTGGGGGGGGGGACGTACCTCTGGGGAGCTGCCTTCGCGCAGAACCAGCTCCGTCCCCGTAGCAAGAAGAGGAGGAGGCTGGAGGTCCGAGTCTTCGGAGAGCTTCTCCTCCTCATCCTCCTCATGGATTGGCGAAGAGGGGGAGCGAAGGGTGCTAAGGAAGAAGACAACAGGGAGAGCATTGTCCTGCTGCGGATCTGGCGCAGACACCCCAAAAGCCTTTCTTTCCAGGATCATAGAATCATAGAATCAAAGAGTTGGATGAGACCTCATGGGCCATCCAGTCCAACCCCCTGCCAAGAAGCAGGAATATTGCATTCAAATCACTCCTGACAGATGGCCAAATCACCCCTGACAGATGGCCATCCAGCCTCTGTTTAAAACAGTGCTTCTCAACCTTGGGTCCCCAGATATTTTTGGCCTATAACTCCCAGAAATCCCAGCCAGTTTACCAGCTGTTATGATTTCTGGGAATTGTAGGCCAAAAACATCTGGGGACCCCAGGTTGAGAACCACTGGTTTAAAAGCTTCCAAAGGAGTCAAGGCATCCCTTATGGAGAAAAACTCTCTCATCTTAACTGCTTAAGACTCAACCTGGGCCCTTGCTGGACTCAGCTGCTTCCCCAGCACATCTGGTAGCACATCTGATTAATCACTAGCAGCAATAAATAACTGCTGACCAAAAGGTGGCAAGTTTGCAGCCTGAGTCAGGGTTGAGCTCCCGACTGTTAAATAGCCCAGCTTACTGTTCACCTAAAACAGTTGTGCAATGAGTAGAGAAATTAGGGATCGCTTAAAGCGGAGAAGTTAATTTATGACACCATAAAAATACCGGTGAGCAAGGTGGAAATGCCATGATGAAAAGTGGCACAGTGGATAAAGTGACAGCTCCCCCCTGTGGCCAGAATTGAGCAACATCCAGGATCCGAAGTGGAAGAACTGCTCTTGTATGTCAAAAACAGCACTGATTGTGTCCATTGTGATCCGCATTGAGTCTCCTTTGGGGTGAGAAGGGCGGAATATAAATACTGTAAATAAATAAATAATAAATAAATGTGGCCGCCGTCCAGCCCTGCAGAATCCCATCTGACAGAGGGGTGAAGGGAGTGAGCCCAAAGCCTCCTGCGCAGAGCCAGATACTGGGTTCAGGTGGGTGGGGAGAGTGGGCTGACCTGTCAGGGGACTTGCTGCGCTTGCTCTTCTGGTGGCCGCCCTCTGGGGCCCGGTCCAGTGCCCCCAGAGGCCTCCCAGAGAGGGGCAGCCCATCCAGGACCCCTGTGTACGTGATCTCCTCGTAAAGCGGGGCTGAGGGGATGGAGGGTGAGGCCGAGCGCAGGCCATTCAGGGCTTCCAGAAGAGAGATGGGCTCATAGCCCGGAGGGATGTTGTCTGAACACTGCGGAGGGAAGGAAAGAGGAAGATGGTATTGGGCGAGTGGGCTTATTAACAAAAGACCCTCCTCATAAATTTACAGCAGAGTAACTTATCAGCAGGTGAGCTAGCACCAGTAGCCCAAAAAGAACAAAAACACAGAGACCAATGTTATCTCTTCCACAGGAGGCTTTCTTTTTGGTAAAATAATATAGTTGCACTATTTACAATAACAAGGTTTCCGTGACACAAATAAAGTCCTTTATACTTCCTTCTTTGCTTCCATGCTGGGCTCTCACAGAGCCTCCTCTCAGACCAAAGTTACACAGGAGCTTATCACACAGTAGCCTTTTACACACAGCAGCCTTTATACTGGAGCTTTCTCACATGAGGCTTCTCTCACACAGAGGTTTACCTCGCACTCCTCAGGACAACACTAGGGACCTCATCACACTAGAGAATTAATCCACTTTAAATCTGATTTCTGCTTCCTGCAGAATTCTGGGGTTTGTAATTTAGGGAGGAGCCTTTAACAGCCTCACTAAGCTACAAACTTTAGAATTCTGCAGGAGGCAGAAACCCGATTTAAAGTAGATTCATTCTCTAGTGGGAAGAGGCCCTAGCTTTGGCCCACTAATTCTAACAGGCTTCGGCCTACTCACCCTCCTCAGGACAACACTAGCTTTGGCCCACTAACGCTAACAGGCTTCGGCCTACTCACTCTCCTCAGGATGACGCTAGCTTTGGCCCACTTACTCTAACAGGCTTTGGCCTATTCCTTCTCCTCAAGACGACTCTAGTTTTGGCCCACTAACTAACAGGCTTCGGCCTACTCACTCTCCTCAGGATGACGCTAGCTTTGGCCCACTAACGCTAACAGGCTTCGGCCTACTCACTCTCCTCAGGATGACGCTAGCTTTGGCCCACTTACTCTAACAGGCTTTGGCCTATTCCTTCTCCTCAAGACGACTCTAGTTTTGGCCCACTAACTAACAGGCTTCGGCCTACTCACTCTCCTCAGGACGACACTAGCTTTGGCCCACTGACTCTAACAGGCTTCGGCCTACTCACTCTCCTCAGGACGACACTAGCTTTGGCCCACTGACTCTAACAGGCTTCGGCCTACTCACTCTCCTCAGGACGACACTAGCTTTGGCCCACTGACTCTAACAGGCTTTGGCCTACTCACTCTCCTCAGGACGACACTAGCTTTGGCCCACTGACTCTAACAGGCTTCGACCTACTCATTCTCCTCAGGACAACGCTAGCTTTGGCCCACTTACTCTAACAGGCTTCGGCCTACTCACTCTCCTCAGGATGATGCTAGCTTTGGCCCACTTACTCTAACAGGCTTCGGCCTACTCATTCTCCTCAGGACGACGCTAGCTTTGGCCCACTAACTCAAATAGGTTTCGGCCTACTGACTCTTTCAGTGCTTGACTCACACATTTGTAATCAAAAATACCCAATTATTTTTTAATATTTCTGACAGATGGCTGGGCTCAGCACCAATTGGAGGTACCAGGGAGCCCCAGGATGAAGCCCTGCTCCGCCTCGCCAAGGCCCCTTACTGACCGAATGCTCATCATGGTCCAGGGTCTGTGCCAAGACGGGGCTGAAGGAGAGTGGGGAGAGGGCCCCTGGCTTCTTCCGGACCGCACGAATCTGTAGAAGGGCCCGGAAGGCTGTAAAAGGAAAACCAAGAGAAAAGGTCCCCTTTGAGACCCAAACCTTTCCCTGGGACGCAGCAAAGGTTTCTTTCCTCAGTTTACCAAGGAGTAACTCTGGACCCTTCCACTGGTGCCAGGCCCTGCAGGGATGGGCTGCTAATCCCAGGCAGAAAGGGCTTTGGGGGCAGACGAGAGCCCCACAGCAGCCGCACTTACGCAGGCGGCAGATGGGGCAGTTGTTGGCCTGGTAGCGCAGGGTGTCCGCACAGGAGTTGCAGAGGCAGAGGTGCCGGCAAGGCAGGATGAGGGTGTCCCGCAGGTCTGAGAGGCAAACCACACACTCATTGCTGTTGTCGCTGTTCTCGTCGTCACAGGGCTGCAGAAGGGAAGGGAGGTCACTGAACCGGCTGGCCTTTGGAGACCGCTCAGACCCTGGTAGGCCGAGAAAAGGGCGGCCGACCTCTCCTCCTCCTCACCTTCGTTTCCTGGTTGTTCTTATTCTCGATGCCATAGATCTCCTGAAGGAGGTAACTGACCCTGTCCACCTAGAAAAAGCAGGAGAGGGGAAGCCAACACTGGAGGCGATCCTTCCTATCTTCATGCATTGAGGAAAGGATTCAGGGTGAGGAAGCTAAGCATCCCTACCCACCATGGTCAAGCCCGGGATTTCATCCAGGGCAAAGCATTTTCCCATCCAAAGGAAAAGTCAGGGGCATACAGGCCCAGCTGAGGCTCCCAGTTGCAGGGACTGGGAACTTTAAAGTTAAATGGCCTATATCTGGCACCGAAACAGGAAGAGAAAGAGCTCCCGTGGAAATGGCTGCCAGGATTCAGGGAAACAAAGCCAGGACTTACAATCTGCTTCTGCTTCAGGGGCTTCACGGAGAAACTTCCATCGACATGCTAGTGAAAGTAGGGAGAAGGATGAAGAAGATTAGCTCTTCTGTAAGGAGACATGTAAATGCCATTGATGTGTTGGGACCTGCTGCTGTGTCCCTTTAAAAGGCAACCCTAGAACCCTTAGGGTCTCTTTCTAATTAGACACTAAGAGGTGAGGAGATCAAAATACAACTGATTTATTTGTACAGATCTTTCTGCTGGATCAGCAAAGAAAGTGCTACACCTGAGATTGCCTTACCTTCTCAAAGGCCGCCAGGAGGATGTGAGCATGGCCAGTCACTTCCACAACCACTGAAAGAGAAGCAAAGGCCCCTGAGCAGAGGACTGGGCAACCTCAGAGAGAAGAGGTGGCACTGCCAAATGCAGGGATGCCCACCCAAGAGCTAAATGCAGAAGGCCAGCCGCTTACCGTCGCCTTCGTCCACCACAGCCTGGATAACCACAGGGAAAATGCCCCGGTCCAGGTCGAAGTTAAGCTAGAAGGAAGTGTAGGCAAACAGTCACATAAGCCAAGCTCCTTCCCTCCTCTTTTCCAGTGAGACAAACTGGTGCTTTGCTCAAGAAAAGGGAGAGGATTCTGAGGAGAACGCAGAGCCCTTAACAGGGTGCAAACTGCATATACAGGGGAGGCAGCATAACTTCCTTTTTTAAAATGAAGAGTATAAGGTTTTGTCCTGACACAGTTCAGTTGCCATCATGCGCTGGAACAGTGAGGAGCATGCTTTTGCTGTTGAGACCTACTTTTCGAGCGGATTTGGAGTGGCCAGCCCGCTCTCCAGATTTGGCCCCTTGTGATTTTTTTCTATGGGGTTTGTTTGAAATCCTGTGTTTATGTGAACCGTCCAAGAACCCTACAAGATTTGAAGACCAACATCCAGGAAGAAATTGCCAACATAACGCCTGCTATGCTGGCAAGAGTCATGACAAACGCCAGAAATCGGTTTACTCAGTGTATGGAAAATGGAGAATGGGGGATGTCACCTACCTAATTTGATCTTCAAAACTACGTAAAACAAAACTTTAGGTATGCGCCTACATTATAAAAAAAAATCTGATTCATATAATGGGTTTTATTAAGTTTTGAAAAAAGAAAGTTATGCTGCCTCACCCTATATATGGGCCTTACCCACTCAAGATAAACCCCAGCTTCACCTGTGAGCAACTTCCCCCCAAGCGCTTCTGCATTAAAACTCTCTCAGACACATCATATTTGAGACACCCTGAACCCATAGTGTGAAAGAACAATTATCAGAAGGGTCTGAGATAAAGGCCACAATGAAACAAGACCAGTACAGAGTGCCAAGGGAGGGGGGGGGGAGTCTTACCTCGTCGTCTTTCCAATCAGAGAAGTCGATCTTGAAGGAGGGCAGGGAGAACTGCTGGCTGACCCCGCGCTTGTAGTGGACTGTCTCCGACTGCAGGGAGGGGTTCTTGGTGCTGTAGCTGGAGAACGGGAAGGGAGGGAGAGGAGAGAGTGAATGAGGGAGAAGGGAGGGAGGGAGGGAGGGAGGGAAGGAGGGAGGGGAAGGAAGGGAGGGAGGGAGGGAGGGAGGGAGGGAGGGGAGGGGGAGGGAGGGAGGAAGGAAGGAAGGAAGGAGGAAGGAAGGAAGAAAAGGGAGGGGGAGGGAAGGGAGGGAGGAAAGAAGGAGGAAAAGGGGGAAAGAGGGAAGGAGGAAAGGAGGGAGGAAGAAAGAAGGAAATGAGAGAGGGAGAAGAGGGGGAAGGAAGGGAGGGAGGAGGGAAGGAAAGAAAAGGGGCAGGGAGGAGGGAAGGAGGGAGGGAGAGGTGGGGGAAGGGAGGGAGGGAGAAAGGAAGGAAGGAAAGAAGGAGGAAGGAAGAGGAGGGAGTGAATGAGGGGGAAGGAAGGGAGGAAAGAAGGAAGGAAAACGGGAGGGAGGGAGAGAGGGAGGAGGGAGGGAGGAAGGAAGACAGTCTCCATCACTAAGATGCAACCTCCACAGACTCCCTTCAGTCCCTCTATATTGCCTTGACCAAGTGTGAACCCTGGCCAACCCACTATGAAGACTTACACGGCCATCCCACTCACAAACTCCTCTGTTGCCTGGCAGTAGATGGTGATGGCAACCCTAGCATCAGCATCGAAGGTGAACTCCAGGCTGTAGAGGGCCTTCTGCTTCCCATTCTCCTCGATGGGCCTATCTGTGTCTTCCTTGTACCTGCCCAGGACAAGACAGGCTCAGGATCAACACATAGATCCATTTAAATTAAAAGTCCATATAAGCAATGTCTCTGTCCTGAGCAACTTGGAGCAATATCAGCTTTCAAAACCTGTTACAATATAAAATCACACATCACTCAGACAACACATATTTTACGGAATAAGGCTGGTGTCGGTTGATGGAACTATTCAAAAGAATATTTGGAAGGCAGATGTGTTTATGAACACAGTCATTTAAGCAATACTGTATTTTTCTGATCCTAAGAATCACCTTTTGCCTCATATAAACATCTCTAAAAATGTGGTGCGTCTTAGAATTGCAGGTGTATCTCATATCTTTCTGTTGGCAAATTGGGGTGCACCTTACAATCAAGTCATCTTACAATGGATGAAATGTGGTATTTCTATAGAAGTGATTCCTGGCCTTTGGTCTTCCAGGCATTTTGGATTTCAACTACCAGAATTCCTGACAGTCTCTGGGAGATGAAATCCCAAAGGACCAATGTTAACTTGTTCCACAGCAACCAAGCCAAAGCCTCCTGTGCGGAAAAGCCCCAAATGCCCCTCGGTTGCCCCCAAAATGACCCAAAGAGCCCAAAGCCGTACCTGACCAGGCGAAGGGAGTCCTTGCGGATGTTGACCAAACTGCGCAGGGTCTTCACTGGTTCGTGAGGTGCAGGGGTCACATAGGGAAACTGGAAGGGAAGAGGCCCTTGAATTCGAAGGTCATGGCAGACAGGAAGAGGACCCAGGGAGGAGAGGGAAATCAGCCCTAAGGACCTGAAGCTGGCACCACCTCAATGCTCTCTCTGCAATTTGCCCTTCCCTAAATTTGTCTTCCCTAAATGTGTTGGACTACAACTCACAACAGACCTACCCAGGACAAATCTTATTATTATTATTATTATTATTATTATATTAAGTATTTATTCCATGCCTCTCATTTTGGCTCAAGGCAGGGCACAACACAGCTAGATACACCTATATAACCACATATTAGAACATAGTTAAAACACAATTATAAAACATGCAGATATTGAAATGCATGTGACTAAAGTTAAAACACCATCAGCAGTGGATGTGATTTAAGAGACATTGGCTGGATCTACATCGCCATGTAATTCAGTTTCTGAATCTAGATTATCTGCTTTGAACTGGATGATAAGAGTCTACACTGCCATATAATCCAGTCCAAAGACAATAACACAAGATGGTCACTGAAAAACTAGAGCAAAATGTGCTGCAGAATGTCCCTCCTGCAAAGACATGTGATAGAACTACTTAGGAAATTACATTTATAACCCCGGGGAAAAAATTGTATTACATAGTGTAATCCAGATTCAGAAACTAGGTTATATGGCAGTGTAGATTAAACCATAGTTGCAAATGATTGGGGCAGGCCTTCCAGAAGAGAGAGGCCTTTGATTGTCCGGCCTCAGTGGCAGGAGGGCCATTGGGATCCAAAACACTTGAAAGGAGGCTGCTATTAAACTGTGACCCAACAGGAAGTACCTGATCCATAATTTCTGCTGCGTTTAAAGATTTGCAGGGCTCCATACCCAGTGCCATATCCCTCCCCCCTCCCCACAATCCAGAGGAAGGAGGCGATCAGTGTGAACAGAGGCTCATGCTCTTGCCTGGACAGGGCGGTTCCCCAGGAAGTTCAGGTCCATGTTTTCCCCAAAAAGGTACCCCTCTGGATGTGGCGTGTCAAACTTCTCTCCCCCCATGAAGAAGTGGCTGGCAAAGTAGTTCCCTGCAGAAAAAGACCCCCCAAAAAAGAATGACTCCTGTATTGCTTTTAAAGGAACATTTAAATAACAGATTTATGCAAGAATAACCTCATGACATTTCTATCTTTATAGCTTGATTCCTCTCCAAGGAATACAAGAAATAGTATGTTATTGTGATACTAGCCGTCCCCTGTCACGTGTTGCTGTGGCCCAGTCTGTGTATATGTGTTTTTTGTGTGTATGTGTGTATGTTTGCATGATATATATATATATATATATGGTTTTGCACATGCATTGTAACGTATTTTTTGTTTTTTGGCTTTTTAAGTCTCTTCTGCTATGTTTTCAGTGTTTTTGTGAGTGATGGTCATTCCTTGGCCTGATAGGTGTATTGTGTCCAAATTTGGTGTCTGTTCGTCCAGTGGTTTTTGAGTTATGTTAATCCCACAAACGAACATTATATTTTGTTTATTTAAAAAATTGTCATCATTGGGTTGTTAGGTGTATTCTGTCCAAATGTGGTGTCAATTGGTCCAGTGGTTTTTTAATTATGTTAATCCTACAAATGAACATTACATTTTTATTTATATAGAAGTACTAGCCATCCCCTGTCATGCGTTGCTGTGGCCCAGTCTGTGTATATGTGTTTTGTGTGTGTATATATGTATATGAACACATCATGCGACGTGTGGGGCTTGACGAATGCAAGGCTGGGGTGAAAATTGCTGGAAGAAACATTAGCAACCTTAGATATGCAGATTACACCACTTCGATGGCCAAAAGCGAGGAGGAGCTGAGGAGCCTTCTAATCAAGGTGAAAGAAGAAAGTGCAAAAGCTGGGTTGCAGTTAAACATCAAAAACACCAAGATTATGGCAACAAGAATTATTGACAACTGGAAAATAGACGGAGAAATCTTGGAGGCAGTGACAGACTTTGTATTTCTAGGTGCAAAGATGACGGCAGACGGCCAACTGCAGCCAGGAAATCAGGAGACACTTACTTCTTGGGAGGAGAGCAATGACCCATCTCGATAAAATAGTGAAGAGTAGAGACATCACACTGGCAACGAAGATCTGCATAGTTAAAGCAATGGTATTCCCCATAATCACCTACAGATGTGAGAGCTGGACTATAGGAAAGACTGAGTAAAGGAAGATAGATGCTTTTGAACTGTGGTGCTGTAGGAATGTTCTGAGAGTGCCTTGGACCATGAAAAGATCCAACCAGTCCATACTTCAGGAAATAGAGCCCGACTGCTCATTGGAGGGAAGGGCAGTAGAGGCCAAGATGAAGTCCTTTGGCCACATCATGAGAAGAAACGAAAGCTTAGAGAAGACAATGATGCTGGGAAAAATGGAAGGAAAAAGGAAGAGGGGCCAACCAAGGGCAAGATGGATGGAGGACATCCTTGAAGTGACTGGATTGACCTTGAAGGAGCTGGGGGTGGTGATGGCTGACAGGTACCTCTGGCGTGGGCTGGTCCATGAGGTCACGAAGAGTCGGAAACGACTGAACGAATGAAGAACAACATATGTGTATATGTGTGTGTATATGTGCGTGTTTGAGTATATATGTGTGTGTGTGTAGTTTTGCGCATCTGTTGTAATGTATTTTTTGTTTTTTTGACTTTTTAAGTCTTTTCTGTTGTGTTTTCAGTGTTTTTATGAGTGATGGTCACTCGCTGGCTTGATACGTGTATTGCGTCCAAATTTGTCCTGTGGTTTTTTAGTTACGTTTATCCCATTACATTTTTATTTATATAGATATAAGAACTAACTACATTTCTTCCGAGTAAAGAACTGGAGCTACTCTAACACCCATCTCTTCTAAGGTTTCAAAGAGAGGGAAAAATACCAATCACTACATCTCTCCAGACACACAAGCAGAGAGAGAATTTAAAGCACACATCACATACTTTCCATACTAAAGAAGTGTCAGAAGGCAGATTCAAAATACTTGCAGTGGATAAGTCTCCATTTCTAAACAACCAGGGGCAGCTCGTCCATTACGCGAAGTAAGCGGTCGCAGAACACTTTTTTTGCCAGGGGCGCAGAGGCACCTCTGTAAATGCCCCTCGACTGCCACTTGAGGAGCGCCCCCTCAGCTCACAACAGCCCTAGCAGTCCGGGGGGAGCCTCGGCTTTCTTGCCTCGCTGCCGGGCGAGCCTCTTCCCAAAGGGGCCGGGCCCTTGTGCCTCACCTAGCCCCTCTCGTTCCTGCTCCACCTGGCCACCGGGTGCACGAGCAGAGCCGGCGCTCAATCGTTCTCCGCGTTCGATCCCTTCCCCATGACCGGCTCCCTTTCCCGATCCCCCGGCGCTCCACCCACCTCCTCTCCCTAATCCGCGGGTGGGCCAAAGGGTGGAGCCGCCGCACCTGGCCCACTTCAGGTCCGGAGGCGTGTCTGAAGACCCCAGTGTGCGCACCAAAATCCGCCTCTTCTCCTGACTTTCTCTTCAGCCATTGGGACCAAGAGAGAGAGAGAAAGAGAGCTCCTCCGGCTGGAGGTATCTCCCACCTCCGCTCCCTCCTTTGTTTTTGCGCCTACCTTCAGGAAAGGTGGGCATCTCCACCTCTCTCTATCTCTCTCTCTCTCTTGGTCCCAATGGCTGAGGAGAAAGTCAGGAGAAGAGGTGACTTTTGGTGCACACGCCGGGGTCTTCAGGCACGCCTCCGGACCCAAAGCGGGCCAGGCAAGGGAGCAAGTGCGGCAAGGGTAGTTACTGGGATGTATAGTTCACCTACAATCAAAGAGCATTCTGAACTCCACCAATGATGGAATTGAACCAAATATGGCACACAGAACTCCCACGACAAACAGAAAATATATATCAATGATTGGTTGAGGGGGGGGGGCAAAATACTGTTTGCTTACCATTGAAAATTACCTAGGGCCGCCTCTGTAAACAACCAATCAGAATCAGAGCAGGAACAGAGAAGAGAGCAAATAGATACATTCCCATTACTGTCATACAGGAGATTATTTGAATACTAACTAACTTCTCATTGAGGACTTGAAACTTGGGCAAGTGTGGGGTTGAATTCCAACAGTTATCACAATACATTTTGCAACTGGAATGTGAACAGGCATTTATTGTCATGGCATTTCGACTTAAACAATTTGCACGCAGGCTTCTGCACCACCACATTTTTTGTATATGGAATTTGCATATGCAATTCTTCATTAAGATAGGGGATAGAGCAGGAACGGGCAAACTTGGGCCCTCCAGGTGTTTTGGACTTCAACTCCCACAATTCCTAACAGCCTACCGGCTGTTAGGAATTGTGGGAGTTGAAGTCCAAAACACCTGGAGGGCCCAAGTTTGCCCATTCCTGCTCTATCCCCACCTTTTTAAAATATCAAAATGCACATTTCTGCACCTGAGATTTGCATATGCAAATCTGCCCCGCACAGATTTGCATACGCAACGCCTTCTGGGTGTCCTGTCAGTTGGGGGAGGGGGGAGGGGTGCTTGTCCAGTCAAGACAAATAAAGCCTCACCGGACTTGGGCGGGTACCGATAGGCCGAGTTGGCCTGGATGTCGATGTCCTCCACGCCGGCGATGCGGCGGCTGAGTAAGGAGCCCATGGCCGACGACGACGAAGAAGGCAAAGCGGCGGAGAAGGAGAACTTCCGAGGCTCCCGAAGGCTGGCTCTCCCTTCGGCCAGGCCTGTGTAGGCCGCTCCCGCGCGGGGCCTCACGGGAAAGCGAGTCTTCAGCGCCTTCCTCGGCGCTTTCCTCAACGCAGCGCCTCGTGACGTAGGACTACCATACCCACAAGTCACCGCGAGGGCGTCCGTCTGGCGTAAACAAGACACCGCCGGGAGGTAAGGGGAATTCGGAGGAGGCGTGGCCTATGCCTGCTGTCAATCAAAGACGCAGCTTGTGGACTTCAACTCCCGGCAGCCTTTGCTAGTTTGTCCAATGGTGAGGAATTCTGGGAGTTGAAGTCCAAAACATTAGAAGAGCTAGGGAGGCAGTAGCACAGTGCAATAGGCAGTTGTGAAGTATTATTTATTTATTTATTTATTTATTTATTTATTTATTTATTTATTTACCTTACTTATATACCACTGTTCTCAGCCCGAAGGCGACTCACAGCGGTTCACAACAAATACGAACAGCAAAAATTCAGTGCTACAGTATAGAAACAGTTAACAACCTAACACATTACACAATTAATAATTACTACAATACCCATTCACTGTCGTCTCGTCATCAAAAACATGTTCCAGATTCATCATCCATTGTTCCATTCCAGTGTTCATTAACCAATCATTGCACTAATTATTCGAACGCCTGCTCAAACAGCCAGGTCTTCCCTTTTGCGGAATACCATTAGAGATGGTGCTAGTCTAATGTCCGTAGGAAGGGCGTTCCACAGCCGAGGGGCCACCACTGAGAAGGCCCTATCTCTCGTCCCCGCCAGCCGAGCTTGAGAAGCAGGCGGGATCGAGAGCAGGGTCTCCCCGGAAGATCTCAAAGTCCTGGTGGGTTCATAGGCAGAGATGCGGTCGGATAGGTAGCTTGGGCCGGAACAACCTCACAACCTTTGAGGATGCTTGCCATAGGTCAGTGGTTCTCAACCTGGGGTCCCCAGATGTTTTTGGCCTTCAACTCCCAGAAAACCCTAACAGCTGGTAAACTGGCTGGGATTTCTGGGAGTTGTAGGCCAAAAACATCTGGGGACCCCAGGTTGAGAACCACTGCCATAGATGCAGGCGAAACGTCAGGAGAGAATGCTTCTAGAACATGACCATATAGCCCGGAAAACCTGCAACAATTGGAATGGCTGCTAGATTATAATTTTGGGTCTTTGTGCTTTTAATTCTTGATTGTTATAGTTTTATGATTTTTTAAATTTGATTTTAATGCTTACTATATATTGTATTTGTATGTTTATGTTATGGACCCCCTGGTGGCACAGCAGGATAACCCACTGAGCTGCTGAACTTGCTCTTAATTTTGTGCTTTTAATTCTTGTGCTTTTAATTCTTGATTGTTATAGTTTTATGATTTTTTTAAAATTGATTTTAATGCTAATTGTATATTGTATTTGTATGTTTATGTTATGGATAACCCGCTGAGCTGCTGAATTTGCTGACCGAAAGGTCACAGGTTCGAATCCGGAGAGCGGCGTGAGCTTCTGCTGTCAGCCCCAGCTTCTGCCAACCTAGCAGTTCGAAAACATGCAAATGTGAGTAGATCAATAGGTACCGCTCCGGCGGGAAGGTAACGGCGCTCCATGCAGTCATGCCGGCCACATGACCTTGGAGGTGTCTATGGACAACACTGGCTCTTCTACTTAGAAATGGAGATGAGCACCACACAACAGAGTCGGACACAATTGGACTTCATGTCAGAGGAAAACCTTTACCTATCTTACCCTTTGCAATTACTCTCCAAAATATAGATACAAGTGTAAAATGCATGTAATATATTATAATATAATGTAATATAATATATTGTATATAGATATATTTATATTATAATGTAATGCAATATAATGCTAATAATAATATGATATTATAATTATATATTTTATATTACATGTAATATTACTAATAATATTACAATATAATGATATAGTACAATATAGTAATATATAATACTGATATTGTGCTATGCTAATAATATAATATATTGTATGTATATATATCTTGTAAGTTGTTCTGAGTCCCCTTCGGGGTGAGAAGGGCGACATATAAATGTTGTAAATAAATCTATATAAATAAAAATGCAATGTTTGTTTGTGGGATTAACATAGCTCTAAAACCACTAGGCAAATTGACACCAAATTTGGACACAATACACCTATCAGGCCAACAAGTGACCATCACTCATAAAAATGCAGTGGAAGATATCAATAGGTACTGCTCTGGTGGGAAGGTAAGGGTGTTCCATGCAGTCATGCTGTTTTTAATATTGTTTTAATATTTTTAATATTTTGATTGTACTGTGGTTGTTTTTATGATGCTAGCATCGTATGATGCTTTTGTTAGGCTGTCCTGTGTCACTCTTCTGGGGGAGAAGGGCAGGATATAAATATAGGAAATAAAAATTATTATTATTAATAATAATGACCTTGGAGGTGTCTACAGACAATGCCGTCTCTTTGACTTAGAAATGGAGATGGGCACCACCACCCAGAGTCGGACACAACTAGACTTAATGCCAAGGGGAAACCTTTACCTTATGTTTATTTTTATTATGGCATTGAATTGTTGCCAGTTCGGAAGCCGCTCTGGGTCCCCTTTGGGGTTGAGATGCAGTAAATAAATAAGAACCCAGTGGAGCATCGAGACAGAGGGAAAGAAATGACCACAATGCCACTTTGAAAAACAAATAACTCAGTTTTATGGATCCACATTTCTTCACTCAACACATTCTTCTTCTATTTACAGTCATAAAGAGGGGGGACGAGGGGCCTGTAGTCCAAAAAGGAGGCCCCTTCTCATAGGCCGGACATCCCTCCGCCATTGGGGATGTGGGTCTGGCTGAAACTAGTGGTCAAGTGGCCATCCAGGTTCTCCAGGTTCAATCCCGGCGGATGCTCTCCTCGACGGCGGCCCCCGTTTGGAGTGGTCCCGACCCGGCGGAGAGAAGAGGCTGTTAGAGAAAAAGAAGGAAGGAAGGAAGCAGACCCACAATTCAGTCTTTGGGCCTTCATATCCTCAGGATCAATTATTATTATTATATTATAACTTTATTTGTACCCCGCTAGCATCTCCCAAGGGATTCGATGCGGCTTACAACGGGCCGAAGCCCACACAATACAACAATACAGTACCTAGCAAATAAACAGTTAAGCAAAAACAATAACAAAAGCAGTACAACAAGACATTATTAAAACTGAGCCGGCCAGAGTAGGGGTACAGGATTAAAAGTGCTGATGTGTCGGAGGGATATGGGATTATAGTATAAGTGCGGTGTGCGGTGATCTTGGTTCTAACTAAAGTGCTTCTGGGATTTGGTACTGGGGTTCCTAGTCTGAGAAGGCACATTGGAACAGCCAGGTTTTCAAATTCTTCCTGAAGACTGCCAATGTAGGGGCTTGTCTGAGGTCTTTCGGGAGGGCATTCCAGAGGCGGGGGGCCACCACAGAGAAGGCCCTGTCTCGGGTCCCCACCAAGCGCGCTTGTGACGCGGGTGGGATCACGAGCAGGGTCTCTCCAGATGACCGGAGTGAGCGTGTGGGTTCATAGACAACGATACGGTCACGCAGGTAGGGTGGTCCCAAACCGTTCAGGGCTTTGTAGGTAAGCACCTGCACCTTAAATTGGGCTCGGAAAATAAACGGCAGCCAGTGGAGCTCCTTAAACAGGAGGGTTGACCTCTCTCTGTAGTGGGCCCCAGTTAACATCCTGGCTGCTGCCCGTTGGACCAATTGGAGTTTCCGAGCCGTTTTCAAGGGCAGCCCCACGTAGAGCGCATTGCAGTAATCCAGTCTGGAGGGGAATAAGGCGTGGACCACCCCGGCCAGATCAGCCTTAGCGAGGTACGGTCGTAGCTGGCGCACAAGTCTCAGTTGTGCAAAGGCCCTCCCGGCCACCGCCGACGCCTGAGCCTCAAGCGTGAGCGATGAGTCCAGGAGGACTCCCAAGCTACGGACCTGTGGCTTCAGGGGGAGTGTAACCCCGTCCAACACAGGTTGCCACCCTATACCCCGATCTGGTTTACGATCGACCAGGAGGACCTCTGTCTTGTCGGGATTGATCTTCAGCTTGTTCGTCCTCATCCAGATAGACACAGCGGCCAGGCACTCGTCTAGCACCCGAGAGGCCTCCTTGGAATTAGGTGGAAAAGAGTAGTAGAGTTGTGTGTCATCTGCGTAGAGATGGCACCAAACTCCAAAACTCCGGATGACCTCTCCCAGCGGTTTCATGTAGATGTTAAAAAGCATGGGAGATAGAATAGAGCCTTGCGGGACCCCACAGGTCAAGGGCCAGGGGTCCAAGCAGGCATCTCCCAGCTTCACCATCTGGGTTCGTCCCTCCAGGAAGGACCGGAGCCACGACAGCACCGAGCCCCCGAGACCCCATCCCAGAGAGGCGACCCAGAAGGATACCATGATCGATGGTATCGAAAGCCGCTGAGATGTCCAAGAGAACCAGCAGGGTCACACTCCCCCTGTCCAGTCCTCTACGGAGGTCATCCACCAAGGCGACCAAGGCTGTCTCGGTGCCATGACCAGGCCTGAAACCAGACTGTGCCTGATCTAGGTAATTGATGTCATCCAGGAAGCCCTGGAGCTGGAGGGCGACCACCCGCTCCAGCACCTTACCCAAAAAAGGGAGGTTGGAGATCGGCCTGTAATTGTTCAGCACCGTAGAGTCAAGGGAAGACTTTTTAAGGAGTGGGCGAACCACAGCCTGTTTTAAGTTAGATGGAAAAATCCCTTGCTCCAACGATGCGTTAATGATCAACACAAACCAATCAACCAACCCCTCCTTGGCAGATTTAATAAGCCAGGATGGGCAAGGGTCTAGGGCCGAAGTGGTCGCCCTCACAGCCCCAAGGACCTCCTCCACGGTCTCAGGAAGAACAAGCCGAAAAGAATCCCACAAAATTTGACAAGCAGAAGCCTCAGTCACCTCCCCTGGCACTGCGATGAAATTGGAGTCGAGCTCAAGACGTATCTGGGCAACTTTGCCTGCAAAATGGTGTGCGAAATCGCAACACCGAGCTGCTGGGTCGTCAGAGATCTCCTCCACCACAGGTGGGTGAAGGAGCTCCCCGACAACCCGAAACAGCTCTGATGACCTATTTGCTGCAGACGCTATACGGGTGGTCGTGAAAGATTCCCTGGCCACCCGTATAGCCACGGAGTATGCCTTAAGAGAGGCTCTAGCCCGTGCTTGATCAGACACGTCCCGAGATCTTCTCCACTTGCGCTCTAGCCTCCTTCTCGTGTGCTTCATCACAGCCAACTCCTCGGTGAACCATGGAGACGGCCTGTCATGACGCAACGAGATGGGGCGTTCGGGAGCGATCGTATTTATCGCCCTGGACATCTCCTTGTTGTAAAGGTCGACCAAGGCGTCAACAGGATCGCCAGGCTCCATGGCAGGAAGAACCCCAAGATTCCTCAGGAATCCATCTGGATCCATCAGTCTCCTGGGGCGGACCATCTTAATTTGTCCTCCACCCCTGCGAAGGTTGGAGGTCGCAGTGAGTCTAAAACTGACCAGATAGTGATCAGACCATGACACTGGAAGGATGTTTTGTTCTTCCACTCTGATCATTCCACTGTCCGCCACAAAAACTAGGTCAAGAGTATGTCCAGCCTGATGGGTGGGTCCTGATATAATTTGTGACAGTCCTATGGTCGTCATGGCGGCCATAAAGTCCTGAGCTGCGCCAGACAAAGAGGTCTCAGCATGAATGTTAAAATCTCCCAGCACCACCAAGCGCTGGGAGACCAGGGCCGAATTAGAGACCACTTCCGCTAGCTCAGACAGGGAAACTACTGGGTCGCGGGGTGGGCGGTACACCAGCAGAAACCCCACACTGTCACGGTTCCCCACCCTCAGGTGGACACACTCAAACCCAGGTGCTTGCGGTACAGCGCATCTGGTCACGGCGATGGATTGCCGAAAGACCACTGCGACCCCTCCTCCCTGCCCCCCCTGTCTGGCCTGCTGATGCACCCCGAAGCCCGGTGGGCACAGCTGAGTGAGATTTACTCCCCCCAGCTCGTCCAAGAGGGCAAAGGTTACGCAGCAGAAAAGGAAAGAGAGGCTGCAGCCCTTTGCTCTTGCCCAAACCAACTGGGAAGGGCTCTGCTCTACTTCCTCCAGACCAGGCATGAGCAAACTTAGGCCCTCCAGATGCTTTGGACTTCAACTCCTACAATTCCTAATAACCGGGAGGCTGTTAGGAATTGTGGGAGTTGAAGTCCAAAACACTTGGAGGGCCCAAGTTTGTCCACACCTGCACTAACATCATGCTTTTACTAACAACATGGATGGAGGGCACCGGCATTGAATGTTTGCCGTTTGTATGTTGTGCTCCACCCTGAGTCCCCTTCAGGGTGAGAAGGGCGGAATATAAATGTTTTAAATAAATTAAATAAATAACAAGACTAAAAACAAAAATATCCAATTTAATAAAAACAAATAAACACTAAAAATAGAATTGAACATAGAAGCCAAAACAAACTATAGTAGCTTGCTTTGGCCTGATCAGAGAAGGAAGCGTTTTATGTATTTTAATACTATTTATAATACTATTCATTTATACTAGTTTTCATTATTTATTAGTATTGATTTGTAATAGTTCTAGGTTTAATTTTGATTCAGTTTTTAGGTGCTTTAGGCTTCAAATTGTTTGATGTATTTGAGATTCTTTCCAGAAAGTAAAGGTGACATATAAATATAATAATAATGAATAGTATGTAGTAGAATATATAGCAACAACAACAACAAGACTCTTCCCTCTCCCTTGAGTTAGGCCCGTCTAGACTGCCATTTAATCCCATTTCTGAATTCATATTATCTGTTTTGAATCGGATTCCATGGCACCGTAGACTCATATAATTCAGTTCAAAG